AACCTTGAACCCATGTCGGTTCAAGGTTTGAACCGGTCAGACCGTTTCTCCATAGGACCCATCCCTGGGTCCTATGGGATATGCCTCGACCTAAACCCATATGAATATGGGTTTAGGTCGAGGCATATGGAATTGCTGGCTGCACGCCTGCCTGCAAGCGAGGCAACCTTGCTTAACGGCTGGCGTGCGGACCCGCACACCAACCTGCTGGGGGAATGCCCGAGCAGAGGGTTGGAGTGCGGACCCTCACTCCAATTTCAATTGGAGTGCGGTTCCACACTCCCTTCAGAGAAGGGAGTGTTGGAGTGTGTGTGCGAAGGGGGGTGGAGTGTGATTATCACTCCCCAGGAGGGAAGTACATGGTTAATGCACCTCTTGAGTTGTGGGGTGCATCAACTTGTGGTGGGCATGGCACCCTTGCTTGATTTTGGCCAAGCAAGGCTTTGTGCCAATCCCCACCAACTTTGGAATGTGCCAGGTGAGGGTTGAAACGGTGCCACACATGCTTAAAGCTTGGCCAAGCCAAATTTAATCTTGTCCCAACACAATTGACAATATTTTTGCTCAATTTTGGTGTGCCCAGACTGACTTGCAACACCATACTAACTTAACTAAGTCCATATGCTCCTTTGCTGGAGTGGTAAACCACTTGTTGCTTTCCACTAACCAGACTTGTTGTCTTTTCCACAAAGCTTGGGCCAATTCAAAAAAAAAAATTGTTTCTGCAAATGCAGGCAAATCCTATTTTGGTATTCATAAACTTTATTTTTGTGAATTTTGTCTTTGACATATGTCTAGATGGGCCCAAGGCCAAGCACAAGTCAAGAATATGTTGGGTTGGATTGGCTGTGGTGCTTCATGTTGCCACAGTTTGTTGTGTTGGGGTGGTAATTGGGTGTTGCGGATGGGAGATGACATGGTGGTATAGTGGGTGTGGGATGGAGATGTGTGGAGAATCAGGGAGAAATTGTACAGAGTAAGAAAAAAAATTGAGGGGCAGGAAAGGAAGATTGATGAGAGTAGTAAAACGGGAGGCAGCAGAAAATTGAAAGACAAATTGTAATAAGAAAAAAAATTGGTAGGTAGTTCAGATTTAGAGGACTAAAAAAACTTCAATGTTTTGTTATATCCTCACTTGTAAGTACACCACGGGGCTAGTTTTTTGAAACTGGCCCCATCCGCTGGACGCTTTCCTGAAGAGAGCGTCCAACGGATGCGATCAGAGCGTCTGAGGGACGCTCTGGCGAGCCAGCATCACTTGGATGCTTCCAAAAGCATCCAAGTGACACTGGCCAAATATGAAGCGTTCAATGGACGCTATGAACTATTGTCCATCGGACACTCTCCAACCGAGAGTGTCCAATGGATGATGGTTTTCAGTGTGTCCATTGGACACTTTGAGTTACAATTCCTAATTGGAGCCGGTGGTCAATGGTCGAAAAAAGCTTCAAAATTTTGGTTGATGGTTGAAAAACACTCTGAAAATGTGGTCGATGGTTGAAAAACACTCCAAAAGTGTGGTCAATTGTCTAAAAACGCTCCAAAAGTGCAGGTGTAGTGATTGTCAAAAAAGCTGCAAAAATGCACTTGATCATCAAAAGAGGTGTGAAATGGCTTGCTCCAAAGTGCGAATTTGGTCTATGGATGTGGATTCAGTAACACCTGGAAGAATAATTCTGCATAGTGCAGTTGGCAAGAAGAAGCCTTCACTACGGACAAATAGCTGTTGCTGCGGGCCGCAGCGTCACCTGATGTTTCCCAGCAGATTCAGATGCCGCGCGAGCAAATCAAAGTTGAACATGCAACAACACTAGCCCCCTTGCAACAACAGCAAGCACTCTAATCATCTCCAGAGCGGTCGATCAGCAGTGCACTCAACCAGTACCGCAACCAGTTCAATGCTTGGGAACAGCTCCCCAATCTGCTCGTCTCGGTCATCAGAGCTAGCCTACTCATTGACCAGGGCCTCGCTCGCTTCATCTTTGCCCTTGAACCTTTCAACCTTAACACCACTTAGTTCCATGCTCTCTCCGGTGACTTCAACGAGCTCAGCTCATTCATCACCCAGAATCATCTCAATCAACACAACCCTACTACTACAAATGCACAGTTAGTTGCCATCCTCTTTCCTCAATAATAATATTATATATTAGCAGAACAAGAAAGCTGATAAAAATCTGGTTGTGTATTTCCAAGATTATGGAATGGTCTTGGACGATTAGCGGATGAAATCGTACAAGTGGAGGACGGACTGAGTTGTGCGATGGCAGAAATCTCGGAGCTACATGACTGGGTGGATGGAGTATTGATGCCAGCGCTAGCGGAGGTGAAGTTCAGCTACCGAACAACAAACAAGCTAGTGAGCAAGATCCTGGAGTTGCATTTGTATCTGTGCGACTTGCTTGCAAAGGCGGCCTCAATCCTGTCGATCTATTGTTTGGTCCTGGGCCATCAACTCGCTTCAAGCCAGCCTGCTCGACCATCTTGAGCCGAGCAACCCGGTCTTCCCCTTCCCACAGACCGCCGCCTGGGCTGCCGCCGCTAGTCTCTCACTTGCCTCCTTCGCTCGTGCTATCACGATATTTTGCTCTATCTCTGGCTGCATTCAGCTTCATACTCAAGGCGCTCTTGTCTCTGATCCTCTTTGCATCGGCTCCACTGCTCATCCTCCCTTTTGCTTCTATCATGCTATCTCTAATTGTTCACTTTTTTCTGCCCCCATCTCATACAAACACTTCTTCTTTTCAGACATGAGTTCAAGCATGCTTTCATGCTTTTGATCATCTTCTGATATCTATTAGTAGTTTTTTTGGTTTTTTTTTTGTTATATGAATCAATCCATGTATCTGATTAAAGAGAAATTTGAACTATGTATCATATTGAGGAGTGCTCCGCTGAGATGTGAATTGGAAGAAGGCTTCTCTCCGCCATGCATGTAGAAGACTTTAAAACTCTCCGACTCTGGTTAAGTTAGCACACCAGCCCCCTCACAGTGACAGCACCCTCTATGATCACCTCAAACAACCAGCACCCACCTCGTACACTGATTGACTGTGACTCGTGATGATCTCTGTCAATCAGGTCATATAAACTGCTCAGCCTGGATCCTTACAGTCTATCTGCTTGTCTGAACTGATCAAGCAAGGGTACTTCCTCCAGGAAACACTTCTCTGGGTCATTCAGGTTGTAGGACCGGTTACTCAACAGCTCTACCCGGAGTAAGCCTGAAGCTTTTTTTTTGCAAAAACAATAACATATGTTTTGGAAAAATTAGGATACTCACTCGCACATCAATCAAGTTTTGAAAGCAAGTGTCTATAAAAGCTTTCTGGTGCTCGTGGGCCACCAGATGTCTCCTGGTTTTGGAAGAGGCAGTAGTTGAGTGATAAGATCTCAAGTACATGCCTCAGACAAGGTGTGTAGGATATTCAACCAATCCTAAGCCCGAGGAAGAACCCAATGAAAGTACTTCAATACGGGAAATCGCTCCTCAAGAAGTCCATAAACCTGGCGACAATCGACTTGGTCGGTGGCTCCTTGGCCAACCAGAACTTGGACTCGTATTGGTTGGCCCATGTCTTCCAATTGATCTTGATCAATGAACTTGAATGTAAAAATTGTTAATGTTTTTTTCATTTTTTTCCGGTGAGTAATTGTAGGATTTGTGAACAACACAAATCACGTAAGAGTTCAAGAAAACAGTGATTCAGTTTTAATTATCGAGAATCGAAAGCTGATATCAAAAGAAGAAAGAGATACTTGAAGCAGAACAAATCCACCACCGAACAAGAAAGCCAAGAAATTGAGACCCTTCTTAACAAACACGCCAGCACAGATGCCGGTAAGAGTACCAAAGGAGAATTTTCGGACGCTTAAGAGACTTGAAAATTCTTCTGGCTTGTGCTTGATTGGCTGTTGCGGTTGAGGATCAAACATTTGGGGAGGTAGCGCCGCATCGATTCCTATCGCAGGTTTTGTGAGTTGATATGCGGTGATGGCTAGGAGTATCAAGACTGAGGTCTTGGTCCTTGAGAATAATTGTCTTGGGATCAAGGGTCGAGTTGTTGGGTAACTCTTCAAGTCATCCTGGAATTTGACTGACCAGTGATCTGTTGTTTCATGGTTTGAGTTGTCTCTGCTACTGACATAGCGTGAGAGGATTCGGTTTGGCTTGAAACGTCTGGGTGACGCTGCGGGGCGCAGCGACAGGTATTTGTCCGTAGTGCTTGTGGGTGTGCAATGTTACAGCCATGAGGTCCTGAGTTCAACTCTGACCCTCCTCATTTCTTTTTTTCATTTTCACTGCAATCAAAATCATGCATTGGACAGCTTGAAAACTATCCAGTGGACAGTTTTCCAGAAACCGTCCGCAAACTGTCAGGCAGAGTAGTGTCCGATGGACACTCTCTACCCTACAAGTTCTGGACAGCTCAGATGATGTCCAGAAGGGTGTCCATGGGACATCAGAATGGTCCCGTGGTGTACGTCAGCCCCCTAGGTACCAAAGTATTGGAATGGGTAACACTGCAAAATACAATACAATATAGTTAGGAGTTATATCAAATATAACCAAATCCACCATTTTTTAAACAAGTTGGTTCTTTACTTAACCCCTTTGAGGACTGATGCATTTTTTGGGGGGGAAAAGTGACTGGTTTTGAATGGTGGATTTCCTATATTTGATACCCCCTAGTATTGCCCAATAATGTGGTATTGTATTGGGTGTCCAGATACATAGTATCTTTAATAAAGAGGGTTTGGAAAATGACTCCCAAAAATTTGGCTGGA